TTAATTGGTTTTCATTAGCACCTGGTAATAACTTTTTATACTTTGAAGAAAAAGTTGAGTCATCTTCTTGGTGGTCTTCATTGTTGCTTTTCTCTCGAGAAGTTCATCAAGTTTGCTAATTATGTTAGCTTGGCCCCGCAAAAGTGTTTGAAAATATTCTGAATAGTGAAAATAAAAGCACAATTAATATTGATTAAAACAATATATTAATTTAATAATAAATTATTAAATTTAATTAACTATAAATTTAAAAAAATACTAATGTTAGATGTAGATACTAGTGTTTTGATCAATGTGTTTCGTTGAAGTCCCTTCTGTTTTATGGTGGTTTTGAACAATTTGTGATTCATGTTCTAAATTATAAAGACTATAATACATTTGGGTTATTAAAATAAAATTAAAAAGTCYTATAATTTTACCAGTTCCTCCACCACTGAGAATGTTACATTGAGTTGATGAAGGAAGTTTTTTAAATACTGGTGATTGATAAAACATTTCAGGACTTACACCTWATATTGACAATAAAATAATGGTATTAAAATATAATGTAACAATTTCATATTTTAAAATCAGTTATTATAAGTTACTATGTTGGTCATAATTCTCCTCCTTGTCTGAAGCTACATCATTTTTAGGACTAACAATGTAATTACTAATTCTTGTTCCTAGAACAAAACATTAGAATATTAATTATCACTACCATGTATATTTTTTTAAATCATAGGAAAAAAAGTATTCATAAATATGAATTTACCAAAGTTGTTATCATTTATTGCATGAAAATAATTTGGAGAGCTTGATGAGTGTCTGCCATGAGTTAGAGAAGAATATTGGGCGTTAATAAGACCTGAATATGAAATAAAATAAATTTTTAAGGAATTGATGTGTTAAATGTGTTACGAAGACTAGCTTCAGYATCTTTTAGTAATCYAGTGGGAGATTTAGATTTTTTATTGAAAATCAGTTCTGAATCTAGTAAAATATAATGCAGAAATTACAATCAAACCTATATTTTAGGAAAACATCCAAGTTATTAAAGT